ATGACAATTCCGAAACATATGTTTAGACCGAAAAAACGCAGTCTGAGTTGTGACATTAAGCAATGCAAAACGTCACGCTTACATTGCTTAATGTCAAAACTCGGACTGCGTTTTTTCGTCTAAACATATGCTTCGGCATTGTCATTCGCTGAGCTGCCTCCGTAAGTTGCGGTGATTGGCTCTCCAAGTGTTGTGTGGGAAAGCAGACTCACGGGCTTTTTTTTAGAGTGTAGTCACTGGCAAGGTGTGAATGGATGGGTGTCTCTTTCAAATGTTCCTGCCTCCAGCATGCGGCCATTGACTTTACCCATGCTTCGTCCGTGTGTGCACGTCAGAGGTTCACGAGACTACGAAGCATAATCGAAGGTAGGAAGCTTACGCTGAAGGTCGGACAACTGAAACTCCTGCCTGAAAGGGGGAAATTTTCATATGTTTCCATCTCAAAGTAAATCGAATAGTGCTAGCATTTGCACTGCCTGCTTTGTCTACGTGATCTCAAAATGAGACTTTTATATATATGTTGATATATTGCTGCTAAAATTTACGCTGCGAGCTCTATCCTGTAAAAATGAAAATAAATAAAGCTTGAGGCTATTCAAACCTGTCTGCCAGCAACGGAGAAGCGGTTGACGTGCTGACAATCGCCATGTTTGCCAAAATTGCTGCATTCCTTGCAGCGGTTGCAGGAGTGTACATGCAGCGCACAGCAGTCATTCCAATCGCTGTGGTCACAACGGACGCAGTCGTTGTGACCAGTGAACTGGAACTCACTGCAGATCTCTGAACTAAGATTGCCATAGCAATCGATGGTTAGATGCTACTCTGACCACCAACCTCCCTATGCTATGCATCTATACTCCGTTTCACGATCAATTCGCAAACTGTGGACGTCACGGCCCCTCCGATATAATAAGAGCATCGTAGCGAGGCACGTGACATCATGTTACTGGAGCGTGTGTCGCTGCGCCAAATAGAAGGCCCGGAGAATCTGGTTGTCGTCTGCTGGCCAAGGGTCATCTGCTGTGAAACTAACTTTGGGCGTTTCCTCCCAGTTTCCACCCATAGAGACGCATAGGATGAGACCTGCATGCTCATTTGAATTACCTGCAAGTTTGAATTAACGAGATTTGACTGTATATTGCCGATAGAGATGGCATCATGTGAGTTCAATTGCCATTCAAAGGAAAAGAAGCCTAGAACTACTTTTTGTCATGGACGGCGCTGTTGCTGTGGCGGTAACGAGGCCTCTGTGGGCTCAACCATGGAGTGTTTTCACGTGCCTTATGACGCTCTTATTGGGTCGCAGAAGCCGCAGCCTCCACAGTTCGACCAGTTATGGTGAAACGAAGTATAGGGATGTTAGGAACTACAGAAAAAGAGCAAGTGTGAGGGAATAGAACATTACACGGGTGTCCTCCACGCTGTCAATGCTTCGAACCCCAGACTGCCCTTCGTCTTCTTCTTGAGGACTGTAGGCCTCCATGAGCAGATCTGCACATCAAAAAACAAAAATGGAAGAAATTCAGTACTGTCATAATCTAAAAAGAAGCGGAAGCATAAAATAATGTTCTAACATTCCTTATACAACAAGGCCAATATTTCTAGAAACTGGTCCCTGCCACTTAAAAAAAAATAAATAGAACACAGCTTTTGCTTGTGTGCTAGTTTTTCTGTTAAAGCATTTGTACATATACGTATAATGCCCCTAAACTTTTACTTTATCTGAAATAGTAAAAGGCGATTCCACGAAACGCCTTTTGACTTCTGGTAAGCTGTGTCTTGCCATGTTGATGAACAGCATCTGCCACTTCCCTTTTTGCTTTCAAAAAGACTATTAGTTATTGGCATCATTTTTTTGTGATGGTGGAATGCGAAAGCATGGAAAGCACCATCGCAGATGAAAATTAAAGAGAACACCTTCAAGGGACACTGACATCCCGAAACTAATGTTGTTTATGTTTTGCCAGGCGATCTATTATGGTGCAAGAGGACTACCCAATCAGCATTTTGCTACAGCGTCACATATATTTTTCATGAAGTCAAAAAACGCAGCTGCTCGACACTGAAACCGAAACTGGACTGGGGAGGAAGAAATATAGAGGAGAAAGATACCAGAAATCACGTGTCTGTGCTACTTTTTCTCTTTTTCAATCAACGTATTTGCAGTTTTTTAGAAGCCACAAAAAATGTGACTTCTAAAACGACTTTGATTAGCTTGGGTGGTTGTTTCTAACCATAGAAACCAGCATGTGACCACAAAAAAGAGAGTGTGCGAGACTTAAACCAACCAGCTCTCAATCGGCGGCTTTCGGGCGGAAAGACAACAAGTTTTGAGCCGCAAATTGGGTTCTGGGTAGTTGGGCCCTTGTATGTCAAGTACAAATAAAAACCTTGACGAGCATAAATACCCTGTTAGTGTACCTTTAAGTGATCTGATATTACACCAAAAATAGAAAGCAAATTATGTTCTACGAACCAAATGCCGCGGTGAAGTTAAACCGAACACAGGCTGCAACTATTGTTTGGAATTTGACATTGGAAGTAATCGCCAGGCCTGTGGTTCCTTATAGCCGCATCCCATAGAGCAAACGACAGCAACGCACGACAACGAGCGACAGACGACACCGACAGACAGTCTGTTTGTCGGAGTCCGCCATCCCACCTGGCGGACACGACGCAGAACACGGGGACAAGGAAACCTGTTTCCTAGTGGGACTGGAGTTGTCAACAAACACTTCAAAATGCACAGACAAACTGAGTCTGGCGACGCAGTTTTCATGTTTTGCTCTTTGGGCATAAAGCGCGCTGACAAACACGGTGAAAGTGTGAGATTACTTTAGTTCTTGATTAAAGCTTCCGCTTGTCTTCATTTGCCGTAGGCAACTTTCCGCAAACAGTCGTGACAATCGACACCAAACTTTTTCCGAACTAGAATACCCAAATCGTTCCTTTTTTGGGTCGTTCGAGGTATTGTAGGTGAGCGCCACGGAATTTTACGCCGATTTTGAGGATGTTTATAACTTTACATCCGAATAATCGAGGGCAGGCGTTTTTGGGAGGACAATACGGCATCCCGATTATCACAGAACGTGATGACAAGTCTCTCGTCAGCCGGAATGATTTGCCGCGGAACATCATGTCCTACTTCGTAGAGAGCGGTCTTACTTTGGTCAGTCCTCGAACATGAGTGTATCCATTCTGATGCAGGGGCGTAGACCTCGGCATCTTAAAGCACCACCTCGCGCACCAAGCTTTCGCGAGCAAAACCAGCTACAGAAATTTCCCTTTCGCAACTCGACTTACCGGCGCCAGCAAGCAAGCCGCGACCGCGACCACTACGCACAATCGAGGGACCAGAACTGCGGGAACGAGGAGTGGCCGCCAAGGGCTTCTCTGAAGGTCAAGCGGCAGAGCGAGGCACGGGAAAAACGGGAGGAAGGGTAGAAAAGAGGGAAGGCACAAGTGGGCAAGGAGGATAAGTTTGTCTTCTAGACATGTTTCTCAGTGGGACTGCTTGCTGCACTTCAAGTCCAACGGCAGACAAAAACTCGTCCGTCGTCGATTGTTTGTCGGCGATTGTCGCGGGTGTTGGTCATTCCAGTGGGGCAGCATCGGCAACACGGAACTTTGTGGTGTCGTCGGACAAAAATCGGTGTTTGTCGCTCTAGTGGGACGAGGCTATTAGCAAATCTGAAATTGTTTTGCTGCCATACAAATCCTAATATTGACCAATAGATGAAGGCTGATTTGGGTCAGGCAAATCAGAAGCCGCAAGACCTCTCTTCTCATTTGTGTGTAGGCAAGAAGTTGTCACCGAAATATTGCCCGACCGTAGACTGGGAAACAGATCTAATTTTATTCCGTTAGTCTATAATGAACTTCCGTTAGTCGATAATGAACGGGAACGGTCCCAGATCTAATCAACTGATGTGATTGACCTAAGCAACCAAAACAGTGTTTTGGAGCAGCAAATGTGGCCTTTGTAGCAATTAACACAGTGTTTTGGAGCAGCAAAAGCGGCTTTTGGACCAGCCAGGACAGTATTTCGGAGCAGCAAAAGTGGATTTTGGAGCAGGTATTCTTAGGAAAATTAAAATATTTGTTTTGAGTGCTGTAGAAACAAAGGGCACTTTGTGTTTTGTTGAGTTCTGATGTGACGTGTTGAGACGAAACTCGCTGTTTCTGTCTTCTTACTGCGCAGACATCCCACAAGTGTACAGTGCGGTAGGAATTGCCAAGCAATTTTGAAAAACTGCTTGCCACCGTTTTACTGGTTCCCGACGTGCCAGATTTTCGTCAAAAGAAAGCAAACGTAAAACAATGAATTGCAAGCGTCCCAGCTGGCGCCTCAGTTTAGTGGTTTCGAAAGGCGACCTAAATTGGTCCTCTGGCGCAGGCTTGGCGCAGATTACCAATATTTTGGCAAAATGTAGCTGGATGTAGCAGGGTTAGCCCCTTGGCACAGCAATCACATCACTGAAAGAGAAATCTCGCTCTCACCCATGACCAAAATAGTACCCCCGGGGATCATTCTGGCCACCGACGGGTTGACCTCAAGTTAGCTAGCTCTTCTGCACTCCGAATAAAGACCGGTAGGTACAAAAATCAAATGAAAAGCGAGTATCGGACGCTATTCTTTTTTGTCGCCGATGGCTCCAGTACACGAGGTAAATCTTGACGCGAAAGAAATCAAGTGAGCTGGAGAACACTTCCTCCGCACATAGAACGACATGGGGCAAACGTCTGTCAACATGGCATCTAGCTTAGCGCGTGGAAGGAAGCAAGATGCTTCCCTTCCTAACAACACTCGGACATGCTAAGCATGTTTGTCTTTCACAATGTCCTTGACCTTCATTTTTTGCTTTACCACAAGACTTTGTAGGAGAAAGTAGGTGATCCCAAATCGCTTCTAGATTTTGTTACCGTGTAAGCAAACTTACCTCTAGGGGTCATGCACGACTTTTCTGCTTCTGCTGCCGCTGCAGAGGTGGGTGCCACTCCCCTGGCAACAGGGAGCACTCTGGTGCTGATAGAAGAAAGTAAAAATGTGTTAAACTCAGACTCGGGATCAGCTGTGTGTGTTCTTGGCAGTAAGTAATGTAGCATATTACCGTCGGTGCTGAATCTGGCCCTTGAGGAATGCGAGATATTTAAACAGGTGCCATGTCGTCGCAGGAACATCATCGCGGCCAGCACCGCTCCGGCCACTTTGTTTTTTGGATTCCCTTGCATACTTGGCCCTCAAGGCCCGCCAAGCCTGACAGCAGGCATTAGAGTCGCTGCCTGAAGTGAAAGAAGTAAATGTGGCATAAATAATTAAAGTGTCGATTATGAAGACAAGTTTTAGAACAGAAATCAAGATCGAACTAGATTTCTAATACAACTTCAATTAGGACAGCCAATAGGTGCAACAGACATGCATCAGGTTTGCTTGCCAGCATTCAGCCAAAACTTTACAAACCTTCTTCAACTTCTTGAAATGTAGGATTCTACCAGTTTGATCTCTTCATTACTGATCGCTCGATCAATAATCGCTTCCCATTTCGTACCATAATTTTGGCAAACGGTTATGTGAGGTACGCAAACGAGGTGCGAGCAGTAGGTTGGGGGTGGGTATGCGCTGCCCACTCGGAAATGTTTGGTAACGGATAGCTGCACGAAGGCCGCATCAGTGACTCCGAGACAAACCGCCGGCACAAAGAATCAGATCCCCAGTTGGCGGGTTGGAATCCTAGCTGAGGAGCCCGCAATCTGACCGAGGTTCATTGGAGAGAAGGCGCCGTGCAACCGAGATTTCAGTTTCACGTCCAAAGAATCCCAGGTGGTGCAAATTAATCGCTGAGGTATGCGATGGCCTTCCTTGGTTTGGCATGCAAAACAATCCAAACTTTTCTTTGCGAACGGCAGGGAAGTCTCTTGGCAGTCCCGCCTCTGGCGTGACCCAAAACGAACCTTTGATAGCACTTTGGCGGCTTGCCAGCTTCGAGTGGGAACGCCCAGACGCGTGCAGCTGCGCGTGAACGCGAGCGTGCATGCGCAGCGAAAGCTTGGCAGAAGGCAACGAGCGCGCGACGAAGGCAGGGCATCCAGAGAGACGCCCTGGGCCGAGGCGCAAATTATATAGTTCTGTGAAGAGGTCATACTCACCCAAAGCGATTCCAATGGCCTTCCAGGAATTATCTCGCTTTGCCGTGTCCCGGTAATCCATTCGGCTGGCATTCCACAACCACGGATAGCGCTCAACTTCCTGAATGAGCGCTTCTTCCGAGCAAGGAGCCACCGGAGGAGCCGCCATGTTGTCAAGAGAGAACAGACTCACGACCGGCATACAACGCGCGCGGCTGCGGGCACCTCGACTCGTGATTGGTCTGTTGTTCCGGTCGTTCCCGTGCACAAGGAGAAAGTTGAGCTCCGTTCAACTCCTTGCGTTGCGAACGAACACGAACGAAACGACCGCTTGGCGCTCCGTTGCCATGGCAACTCGTCGTTCCAAGCGGTTGCATTCGTTCGTAAGCATAGTGGTCGCTCCGAACGCTACTGTGTGAACGGGCCTTAAGTCCGAGGAAGACATTCGTGTTAAAAAAACAAAACAAAAAAGCCTCACCTTAGCTTTAAGGTATATCTGGAGTACATTCGCCGCAAAGCATTTAAGAGAGCCAATCACTGCAATCTACGGACGGTGTACTCGGCGCGAATGGCGAGGTTAAACGTATATATATAAATCGAAAAAAAGATTGATATAGATATTTCAGTCTTTTAACTCTGGTGAAGAAGGAAGACCACCGAAGCTGTACTATGGTGGGATGACCTCAAGAACGACCTCAAGGATGACCTCAAGGACGACTTCTAGGACGACCTCGAGGGGGACATCTAGGACGACGCCCAAAGAAATTCAGCCTTTCCACTCTGGTGAAAACCAGAGTGGAAAGGCTGGAAAGGTTGCCGCCATCTATGAGCGAGGACGGAAAACCGATTGTCTGGTTGCCGCCGTCGCTCATAGATGGCGGTAGTTGTCCAGAGTTTTGTGTCGACATTTGTTTGGTACCAAACACGATCCTGGGGAACCTGGCCCTTAACAGCTCCCCTGTAAAAAAAAGGTGTGCGTTGATGACACTGAGTACGGTGAGTGAAAACATCACTGGTCACAGCGCCAAGTTCCTTCCGTGGATTGCTGCAGCGATTGACTGTTCCAGGTACACAGTGGAAGAGGTGACAATCCAGGCATTGTTTTTTTAGATTGTGTCGCCTTTGTTGCAGCTGTGAACTGAACGTGCGTCATGAAAAGTGTGATATCATTCAGAAGTGGAACTCCTCTACAGCGGCGGCACGTACGTGCGCAGCAAGGTTATTAATACTCACGTAGACTCGTTGAAAGTACTAAACTTGTTCACTCATTACAAAAAAACAAACAAACGAATTTGGGGTTAAAATGGCACAGGTGACTGGTACAGTAGTTCTTGTTTACATTTTTTTTTCTTCAAAAGTATAAAATAGAAGAGAGAAGAAAGTTGTGTCCCTTAACGAGATGCCGTACTTTAGTTCTGCGTTTATTGTTGCTCAAGCATATACTCGGCGTAGTTTTCATTTTTTGTTTTAATTCTTTTTCGAGCCACGGTTAATTTGCTCAGTGGCCCGCGATTTAAAATCATTTACGACCTGCTGGCTGGCGGGGTTTATCTTCGGGCTTCGCTTTTACGGTGGGCGGTAGTAGTTAACGAGCTTTTATTGATTGGGGTCACACCTGACGAAGGTCTGGTCGTTCGGAAGGTCGGCTTATTCTTCCGTTTTACTTTTTCCCTCTTTTTTGTTTTTTTGCTTATCTTACGACATTGGGCTTTCCTTCGAGCGTCAACCAAAGAGTCCCGTAAACAGGCTTCCATAAACAAGCGGTGCCCTTGTACACTTTTTTACCTTCGCACTTCGTAAAAAAAAAAACAAAGCAATCAGCCGTTTATATTAACAAGTGTGGACCAACTAACTCGATAAAAGCCCGCAGCTAAAAAAAAGCACTGTCACGCAGGGCACTCTTTCAGCGCCATTTTTTGGTGCTGGAAATGGCGATGACCTCGCTTGTGCAGCGCCGACTTCGCCCTATACTGGTGATACAGCTCTGATATACACAGCGCCGAATACCAGTCCTACGCGGAGAGCAAGTCGTCTGCTTCATGCGCGGGAGTTGCTGTGACGTCAGAAAGACGCCGAGCGCTGATTGGCTGATTGAAGGATAGTGGGTAGACCTCGAGGCAGCTTGCCTTGAGGTCTACCCACTATCCTTCAATCAGAGCCAATCAGAGCTCGGTATCGTTTTGACGTCAGCACAATCCCTGCAAAAGAAGCAGACGAACTTGCGATCGGCAGGTTACGTTCAGGTCACCACTGCATCAGCGCTCTTCCAAGGGACGTATTAGAGCTGCGACTGTTCATACTTCTGCCAAAAAAGACACGGTGTTTCAAGCAGGCAGGATGGCGAAGTTATCTGCACTTCTGAAGCGTGTTCGACCCATGTTTTCTTTGTACATTTGTGCGCTTCGAACATGTATGCCTACTGTTTTTTGTATGATGTATACCAGGACTATGGCCACGGGTTTAATGTGGGCGCTTGCGCTATACTCTTGATTTTGTCTGTGTCACAAGCAGATATTGAAGTTCGTTGGCTTAAACTCTAAAGATATGGCCGCGCCCTTTACCTTCTTGCAAAGGCAACTCGGAGCGCGACGCATCACGCGCTCATTGTCCCTGCTCGAATAATCGCATTCTGAGCTTCGTCGATCGCTGCTGAGATTGGCAGGGATTGGTTTTTTGCAACTTTTATAAGGCATGTGAGCACGCGGGCATTTTTCTAGAGTGCATATAGAGATGCGATAGACATCTATTTTGCACGGGGCTGTAATGGGACCTGATCCGTGCCCTGTCTTTCTCGGGGGGTCGTTCGATAACGTGATTTGTCGGGAGATCGTGTGATTGGTACGTCCTCCGTTGATCGCCCTGATTGGTTACTCGCGTGCTCTGCGGAAAACGAAATGAAGACACGGACGTTTTCTTCGAGTGCAGAAATGAGGCATCAGCTACTGGACAGGGCCATCACGTGACCTGATCAGTGTTTTGTCGTTCTCCATCGTCATTTTTCAAGGGAGCGGTGACTGGTTTTTTACAAGTTTTAACAAAAAGTGAACGCACGGGCTTTTTTTATAGAGTGTAAAAATGCGACACCTGCCCCTGCAGAGGGCACTCACGTAACATCGTTGGCTCCCTGCAATTTGTCAAGGTCAATTGTCAAAGTCATTCTTCACGAGAGCAGTGATCGGTCTTCTGTTGATTGTAAGGATTGATCGTTTGCGTGTTCCGCAGGAAAATGAACAGCCACGTTTGTTTTTTCTACAGAGTGCAGAAATGCGAAATTAGCTGCAGTACAGCCAAAACTCGTCGCTTAATGAAACTTTTTTCGAGTAAGCTTCAGAGCAAGCGTAGATCCTCTCACCTGGCCCTGCGTCCCGCTGTTGCCATTATTGGAGGGCTTAGTCCCGCACGACTGACATTGGTAACTTTCACGGCCCATAGGGGGCGCGTTTGTTCCTATCAAAATGGCTGTCATCTGCACGGTCGTCGTAGAGCAATAGTACGATGTTAGCTCTGCTACGAGTAAGTTATCCTAATTTTGTGAAAGACGAGCGGTATATAAGAGCCTTATTTTATGCTACTTCCCAGTCAGGAAGGTGTACACAAGCACTTCATTCTGAAACCGATCATCGAGGAGCTACAGGGAGTAAGATCCTTACATCACTGAAAGTGGCGAATATTCACTACCTATTTTTGAGCGTATACCGTATTTTCTGACAATTATTTTTTTTTTGAGTGTCGGTAGTATGGGGTTTGAAAAGCAATGAAGACCGATACAACGACACGATGCAAATGCATTCTAACTGGCGGAGGCCTGTTGGGGCTGCCCTTCCTTTGCAGTTCACAGACGGCTCCACTGAGGGTGCTCGTTACTGAAAAAAAGGTCATTGACGTCCTTACACTTACCAAGTTCAATCGCCAAGGTCATTCTCCAAGAGAACAATCATTGTACGTTCATTGTTCGCACTCATTGACTCTCCGCGTGTTCCGTTGGTAAAGTGGACGCGCAGGCTTCGTCTAGAGCGCAGAAATTTGACATCAGCATCTGCACAAGAAAGTCATGGGACTTAATTCGACGCCCCGTCCTTGGCCAAGGTCATTTGTCAGGAGAGCAGTCATTGGTTCTTTTTTTTTTTTATCTGCAGCTATTGACTCTCCATGTTGGGCGGCAAAATGACTGCACAGCCTGTTTCTAGATTGCAGAAATGTGACAGCAGGTGATGCACAGGGAAGTCATGTGACTTGATTCGCGCCCTGTCATTCCGGAAGGTCATCCGCCAAGGTCATTTGTCAGAAGAGCAGTAATTGATATTTTGTTCTTCGCAGCAGTTGACTGAAAATGAACACAGACTTTTCCTGGTGTCCAGATATGCAGCATCAGTCGCTGCAGACTGATGTTGTCGTGTGACTTACTTCGCGCCCTAAACTTCACAAAGGTCATTCCTCAGAAGAACAGTAATTGATTCTCCGTTCCCTCGGCCTCTGCAGCGCTGTAGGGTCAATTGGAACCGCGCAACAACGCACGAAAACAAGCGCAATAAAACGTACGATGATTCGCTTTCTTAGCGAGAAACGTAGAAACATTACACTGGCAGGATAATAGATTGCGTTGCAGAACGAACGCGTTGTTGACAAATACATCGCTCCAGACCGTTGCTCCCCGTTATTGTACGTACCTCGATTCGTAAATACATCGGGCCTTACGGTAAAAGTAGCGTCGACATTGCGTAAGTTTCGGGTTTTCTCCGAATTGCTCGCGGCAGCTGGGATAGTATACACTCTTTCTGTGACTGAACCCGCCATGACACAAAAAGAATAATAATCGAGTTTGGCGTTTTCAGCAGACCTCTTATAGGAACCGGATTCCAGCGATCCGGTTCCTTGGACCAAACTACCCAGTAATGTTTGCTTGAGTGCGGTGGTTATTATTATCGCACAACCGGTTTTCGGGGCACGAACCATCTCCCGTCTTCGAGTCATGTAAGCCCCCCCTTTTTTTTTTCTTTTTTCTGGTAATTATAGCAATCTTTTTTTATTAACTCTTCA